CATCAGATGGAGACGACGTTGTGTAGAGGGCCACCAACCCAACGGAGGTGACACTGTGTTGATCACCAACCCATGAAGACGACATCATGTTGAGTTGACATTGCAAACTGACTGCCCAAAACATGGTGTCCACCTCCCTTTGCCACCACCTTGTGAAACAAAAGGATCATTTCACCCAACAATTACAACAATGCGGTCATACAACGCATCCTTCCATCTGTTACGTCGCACTTCATGCAGTGCTACGGACAGAAATGGGTGTCCCACCACCTGGAGATGTGGCGTCACGCTGAGATATGGCAGCTTTTGTCATCATTCTTAATACATTGATCACCAAAATTAAAAGGAGAGGGAAAAAAATCCTTGAGCTACGGCAGGCGTTCCCAACAACCAAAAAAAAAAGGAAACAGTGGGAGATGTTTCAACCATTTGAAGGAATTTTTACAATTTGAGGAAGAACGAATGCAGGAGCTTCTTCCTGCCCAGAGGTAAATCTGAATTGTGAGAATAAGAGGTTTCTCAATTAACAGCTGTTACAAAGCCAACAGTCGTGGAATTAGAATACAGCAAGTGCAGAGGAACCCACTGGGACCATTGAGTCCAACACATGGAACAGCCCAAGCTGGGAGGAACCCATAAACATCATCAAGTCCAACCCAAGGAACATCTGAAGTTGGAGGAAAACCATGGGGACCATTGAGGCCAACTCACCCCCAAGTTGGAGGGAACCCATCAAGCCCATCAAACTCCAACGACACGACTCCGTATTTCTACCCCAGCAAATAACTCTGAGAAAGATGCCAAAGCACTTAAAGTACTTCCAATTTTCTTTATTATTATTATTATTATTTTTTTTTTTTTTTTTAAAGGTTAGGGGTCTTTTTTTTTTTTTTTTTTTAAATTTTTTTAATTTTTTATAATTTTCCATAGGGAACCCCGAACTTCACGTCACTCCTATTGCAAGCTGCACGCATCCAACACGCCCATGGCAATGAGTCACCCTGCGACACGTCGCTCCTTGGAGGTGTGAGCAGTTTGGTGAGGAAGTCTGAAGATCCTGAGAGTAATCCAATGCTGCTGGTCTGTAACCAAAGGGGAAAAAATAGTGCATTTCACTACGGACAAACCGAGTCAGAATCGAGCGATGCCGCTGCCTTGATACCGGAGGTGTATGCTATAAAAGAACCGGTAAAAAAATCTTGTAAATCACACACTCATCTTTAATATCATCGAAAGAAAATAGTTAAGAATGCGAGAACTGTTTACAGATTAAAAAAATATCTTTGAAACCATCTGATCTTAAAAATAGACAATAGTAGTGAGGCTTAAAATACAACCACTCGCATCAAAATGTTCCCAAAGCAGCACCTCGCGACCCCGGGGCCGTTAGGATAACGCCTCGGTCGTTAGGAAGGTGGGGTGGGTTGGAGGAGTCACTTTGTCACAATCCGAGTCCAACACAGCTTTGCCTTTGCTGGAGGACGCCGAGCACTCCTGGTGGGAGCCCTCGGTGAGCTTGGAGGTGGAGCGCGCCATCGAGCCGCCGTGGCTCCCGTTGGTTTGCGAGCAGACGTTGCTGACTTTGGCCGCTTTGTTCTTGTGGTGGTTGTTGTACACCTTGTACTTCATCAGGAGGATGAAGATGAAGACGAGCACCGACGCCACGATGATGCCCCCGATGATGATGATCATGGTGCCCCCGAGGAACTGAGCGTGGAGGGAACGGCACTGCTTGTACTCCTCCTGGGTGGTGAACTGCACGCAGCCGATCACCCTGGTTGCAGTCAGAGATGTCAGCCCGTCGTCGTACACGGCCAGGACGCAGAGGTCGTACTCACGTCCTGCAACCAGATCAGTCAAGAAGAAGGATTTACTAGCAGCTGGGATCATCCTGGAAGAGAGAATACGTACAGTAAACATCCAAATGGGTCAAACCTTCGGATTCCTCTTCAGTCTACTCGGCGGTAAGCAGCCCGCCACGCAGGTTGGAGCTGGATGGGCTTTAAGGTCCCCTCCAACCCGATCTTCTGGGTTCTGTGACCTCAGAGGTTCTACGACCCTGAAGGTCCCTCCAACCCAACCACTGCAGGATCCCAAGGTTCT